CTTTGGCTGCAATGGGACCGTGGACTTTGATGAGGATCATCCAATTCAAAGACATAAAAGTAGATAAGATTTTTGTTGAACAAAGGATGCTCTTGACAACTTATAACTTCTTGACTTTGTCTCTGCTACTGAGGGATATCGAAAAGTGCAGAAAGGAAACAGTAGGAAAATAGATTTCTGAAAGCATAAGTAGAGCAAACAAACAAATAAAAAAAACTCCTAAGACTCAAGGAATAGTGAGAAAGAAGGGTTAAGACATGAAGAAAAGGTCCCAAACCAAACCACATCCAACCTATGCCTTCTTATTACAGGAAATGTGGTGACAACAAAGAAGATATTTTTGCAACCTGGAACAGGTCAAATTACTCAAGAATAGAAAATTCAAATACAAGGGAAGGTTAAGTTGTGAGGAAAAGTAGCAGCTAGTGAAATTATAGTGCCCCAAATTCTAAGGCACACAGGCTTCAGAGTGATAGCATAGTGGTAGGGCGTTTGCCTTGCGCACAGCCAGACTGGCCGAGCCAGGTTCAATTCCTCTGCCCCTCTCGGAGAGCCTGGCAAGCTACCGAGAGTATTCAATATACCAAACACAGTAACAAGAAGTCTCACAATAGAGACGTTACTTTGCTTGAGCAAATCCACGAACAATGGGAGGACAGTGACACAGGCTTCAGAAAGATTACTTGGAGGAGGATTGAAACTCCACTTGAAATATGGGGACAAAATGGAAGAACTATTGGTAACATATGGTTTCTGAAGCCTGTTACAGAGAGTTAAAAAAAGATAAAAGATTAAAGATATCTGAAATATCTGAAATGTGTAGATGAGAAAGAAAAAATACCTAAAACAAGACCTTGGCATGGAGGATGTTGCAAACGAAGACATGTTTGTTTTAAATGGTACTTTCTGAGGACAAGGAAATCACACACAGAAATTTCATCTCCTTGAGGTCTGTCCTTTCCCACAATTACAATTTTTTTATGGTAACAGATTGTCTGAATCCTTGTAGCTGAAAGTTTTGTTTATTCTCTTCTCTTAGGCTTACCCTGAGTCTTTTTTTTGTCATTGGTAAGAGGCAGGAAGATAGTGCAACAGGTAAAGGGTTTGCCTTGCATGTGGTCGACCTAAGTTCAACCCCCAGCATCACATATGGTCCCCATGAGCCTCACCAGAAGTGATTTCTGAGCAAGAATCAGGAGTAAGCCCTGAGCACAACTGGGGGTAGCCCCTTAAAAAAAAGAAATGACAAGATGAATTTGTACCTTAAATAGAGCAACATGAATCTGCATAGTACTGAGCCCCAGGGTCAAGAAATAATATTTTATTTGCAATAATTTGACCTTAATTCCTCTAAAAGTAGGAATTTTCTTGTACTTTTTAAGTGTATGACTGTGATGTTAGTCCTATAATAACTCTATGCTTCCTAATAACTTTTCAGACTATGGAAAAAAACTGAACAGAAGGATTCCAGAAGGTACTAATTCAATTTTGAAAATGCAGATGAATCTGTCATTTTCTTGAGGGGGGGAAAGAATAATAAAATCATAAATGAACTCTACCCCAACAAGATTAAGAGCCCTACAAAAAAGTATAGTCGAAGTGACATCTGCACTTGTTTGTTCATTGCAGCACTGTTTACAATAGCTAGAATCTGAAAAAAACCTGAGTGCCTGAGAACAGATGACTGGTTAAAGAAACTTTGGTATATCTACACAATGGAGTACTATGTAACTGTTAGAAAGGATGAAGTCATGAAATTTACATACAAATGCTACTACATGGAAAGTATCATGCTAAGTGAAACGAGTCAGAGAGAGAGGGACAGACATAGAAAGATTGCATTCATCCGGGGAACATAAAGTAACAAAATAGGAAACTAGCACCCAAGAATAGCCTAGATAAGTACCAGGAGGTTCACTCCATGGCTTGGAGGCCAGCGGCACACTCCAAGTGTAAAGGCAGCTCAGATGGAATAAAGGGTGTTGGGAAGATCCGCCCAGGATGGGAGATGCATGCTGAAAGTAGACTATAGACCAAACATGATTGCCACTCAATGCCTCTTGTACGTACCACAGCACCCAAAAAGAGAGAAAGAACAAAAGGGAATGCCCTCCCACAGAGTCAGGGTGGGATGGGGGGGATAGGGAGTGGGAGGGATACTGGGATCATTGGTGGAGGAGAATGGGCACTGGTGAAGGGATGGGTTCTCGATCATTGTATAACTGAAACCCAAGCACAAAAATTTGTAAGTCTACAACTGTACCTCATGGTGTTTCACTAATCAAAAAAAAAAAAGATTACGAGCCCTCTGGTCAATGCTAAATAGAATTACAAATTTAAGAAGAGGGATTGTTAAAAAGATCAAGGGTATTTGGGCCACTGGGAGGGATCCCTACACCCACTGAACACTATTTGGGAGGTCCCCCAAAGAAAATAAATAAATAAATAAATAAATAAATAAATTTAAAAAAAGAATTGAAGAAAACAGAAATTTAATTTCTTTGTAATTTACTTAAGACTTACAAACTTTGTTTAACTTATAGAGGCCATACCAAGTGATGTTTGAAGTCCTGGGGCCACAGTTCTTGGGGAAGGCATGTAGTGCTCAGGATCTTAAACATGCAAGGCATATGATCTGACACTTGGACCATCTCCTCAGTCCCTAGGAGTCATCAACTTTAATATCTTGGACTTTACTCAGTGATTTTTTTTTTAATTTGAGGTGTAGCATGACTTCTAGGAATAAGTGCTAAACTGTTAACAGTTCCAGGAGGCTAACAGAACAGTGTTGTACTTGGATTCTTGCCTTGTAAATTTAAATTTAAGTATAAATCTCTGTATGACAAAAACTGTCTTTCCTCCTTCTAGCATTCTATGGTTCTCACAAAGTAAGACTTCAACATGATTTTATGGTTGATGTTTTGGTTTTGGATCACATCTGGCAATACTTAAGGGATATTCCAAGCTCTGTGCTTGGGTAACAGACTTTTCATAGTAATAGACTCTATCTACCTGGGTCACTCCAGGAGGTGCTCGGGGAACTATGTTCTACTGGGATTAAATCTGGGCCTTGTGCATGCATTGAGTTTTCTTCCTGGTCCAGGTTTTAACTATTTTGGCATTACTAGAAAAAATGAACTCCTCTATTTTCTACCATCTCCCTAAAGAAGAAATAACTCTTAAAATTCTTGACGCAAGCCAAGGAGTTAGTGTTATGTTCTGCAGACACCCAAGTGAATACCACTTACCCAAACCGAGTTCTCCAGTCGAAGTTGTTATAATAATAGTATTAAACTGTTATTTTGACCTATACCCACGTGCATACATCCATCCATCCATAAACACACACACATACCCACACACATACATACACACCCACACTGCCACACTCTAACACTATATAGGGCCTGCTCCTGTATAGTGTTATACTTATCATAGAAGAGGAAACTTGAAGTGCTTAAGAGCTGACTCGGGGAACTATATGATATGCTGTAGGGATGGAATCCAGGTCAACCACATGATCACATGCAAAGGATGTGCCCTACTTTCAGTACTATTGTTCATCTCACTAACCTTTATTTATCTTTTTATACTCAATCCTTTCAACTTATGGAACTAATTAAGGACATGACCAATTATCACTCATACACCCCAGTAAACACTAATGTCTACTATCTGTTGAGTACCTATTTTGTGCCAGACATTATGTTAAGAGCTTTATTGGTGCTGCATTTAATCTTTAAAATAACTTTATGAAATGTACAGTGTTATTACTTATCATAGAAGAGGAAACTTGAAGAACTAAGTGACCTGTCAAAATTACACGTTGCTAGTAACCATGGATCTTAGACATGAATATGATCACTCAGTTGACTTTATCCAATAATATTATCATTTTGTGGGGAGGGAGGGGGCACCCTAGCTGGGCCTACTCCTGGCTCTGTGCGCAGGGATCATTTCAGGTGGTACTTAGGGGACCTGATACAGTGCCATTTGCAAGACATTCATCTTACCTGCAGTACTATGTCCCCAGCCACCTCTCAACGTTTTAAGAAAAGATGAGAACAGGGCTCATTTATCTTTGTTGCAGAAATTAGAAAATTGTGGCACTAATAATTCATGTTCTACAGAGAATTTTGTCTGAGATCTGTCAAACTGAGCTGCTGCAAAGTCCTGATGTAAGTTTAAAAATAAATTATAATAGATTTCTTCACATTTTGGCACCATTTATTTGCTGATACTAATTTTACATCTGTAAATTTTGAAGAATAAGTGTGGCTAGCTCCCTAAGCTGGTTTCCTAATCTGTATCACATTTTTCACTACAACACGAGAATATTTTTAACATGTGGTATCATGGATAAATCATGGTGTCTAAAGTTAAAGAAAAAATTTTAAAAAAATCAGTAGCTTTAATAAAATCTACAAATATGCTTGATTATAGCCATATCCATTTTACTTTTACCTTATAAAACTACTCTAAGCATTTCATTGAAATCTTGTCTCAATCATTATATTTTAGTTACTCACATGTAGACGTTCTAGTTAATAACAGAGAAAACATCAAAACAGTGGTTTTCATAACCATAAATTCAATAATCAAATCAATGAAATTTCATGTTACCAATTCCCTAAGAATCTCGACAACTGAATGCTAAACTGAATGCTAAAACTGAACAGCATTTAAGTTTTCACACAGAGCATCAAATTCGAGAAATACGACAACAGATTACAAGAGCACATATCGATCATAATCATATGGAGAAGTGCATTTTGGGTTTTGAGCTTTCTTTAGGAACGCTGCTAAAATTTTCCCATCATTAAAGTTGATCCACGGATAAATATAATGCGTAAAATTTTATTTTACCTTAATTCTATATTAGTGCATTATGAAAAAATATTACTTTCGAGAGAAAATCTGAAAGTCTATTAAATGGAAGAACGCGAAGATATCACTCGGATCCTCCCCCCTAAGGGCATGTGCTGGGGTCACGCTTTTACCTCTGAAATGGGTTTTTCATAGACATCTTCTCCTATAGATTTCTCCTGGGCAAGAAGGGCATCTCGATGCAAGACTCGAAGCACTTTCTCTGGCTCTGCTGAGCCATAGTGAGCTTCCAAAACCTCCGGTTTGGTTTTCTCCGTTTTCAGCATGTGGATCACATCTTCTCTGGCCTGAGGAAGAAAATACAGCGAGGTGAGACAGTGGACAAGCTCACGCAGGGCTCACAAAAACCTACACAGAGTATATCAATTATACCCCGGATATTTTTCAGGGCTATTGGCAAATTCTCTGGGTCTTCTGTGCTTATTTTTCACCAAAAGCAGATTGGCAGGCAGATACTCTGTTTCACGTTGCTAGGAAGCAGGCTAGCAGAAAAAGGGTCTGTGCTAATCTTAACTATACAAAAACTGCCTTCTCTAAGTAGCAGTGATTCTCAGAGAGGGTAGGACTGCTCTCAAGATTATTACTCTCTTTTGGTGCACATGAAGGAAACGACAAACTTAAGTTTTCTGTTTACGGTCACAAAGGAGTATTTCAATCGAGTTTAAAATAAAAATCTTCTCTCCCCATTCTAGTGATTACCCATGTATAATTAACAAAAAAAGTCACTAAGAAAATCACTTTATTAGTGATTTTCCTCATTCCCATCAAGTGATTCATTTGGATTAGTAGAAACAATTAGGAATTTTAAAAAGATATTGGGGCTGGAGCAATAGCACAGCGGGTGGGGCGTTTGCCTTGCATGCCGCCGACCTGGGTTCGATTCCCAGCCTCCCATATGGTTCCCTGAGCACCGCCAGGGGTAATTCCTGAGTGCAGAGCCAGGAGTAACCCCTGTGCATCGCTGGGTGTGACCCAAAAAGAAAAAAAAAAGATGTTTTGTTGTTTTAGGGCCACCAGCGGTGCTCAGGGTTTAGTCCTGACTCTGGGGTCAGGGGTCATTCCAAGTAGGGCTCAGAGGACTGTATGTGGTGCCGGAGATTGAATCTGTATTGTCTGCCTGCAAGGCAAGTGTGCTACCCAACGTACTAACCCACCATCCCTGATAATTAGAAGCTCTTTTTTGCATGTTTGTTTTTGGACCCCACCAGGCGATGCTCAGGGGTTACTCCTGGCTCTGCTTAGGCGAGCATCTGGGATACTGGGAATGAATCCAGGTCAGCTACGTGCAAGGCAAGCACCCCACCTACTGTACTATCCTCCAGCCCTGATTAGGAACTCTGATGGTGCCCAATCTAATATATTTTCAGGGAAGGTAAATTTAATCCCTCTAAGATCCAGATTTAAAGTCAGTTAAAAAAGGCTGGGAAAGTCAGAGTTTTTTCTTTTTTTCTTTTTTTTAAATTTTTATTAGTGAGACATCATGAGGTACTTTTGTAGACTTACACATTTTTGTGCTTGGGTTTCAATCATACAATGATCAAATACCCATCCCTCCACCAGTGCCCATTTCCCACCACCATGGATCCCAGTATCCCTCCCACCCCCCATATCCCCCATCCCACCCTGCCTCTGTGGCAGGGCATTTCCTTTTGTTCTCTCTCTCCTTTTGGGTGTTGTGGTTTGCAAAAGAGGCAATGAGTGACAATCACGTTTGGTCTATAGTCTACTTTCAGTATGGAAAGTAAGAGTTTTTCTTTCAGTTTTTCCTTTCAGTTTTCTAGCAAAATCTTGGTATCTTGTGGAAGCTCTTGAGAAAGTCACGTACTTATAGATTTTATATCACATTGATCAAGGTCTCCATCACATAATTAATTCAAATACATCTGGGTTTACTTTTTACTGTTTTGTAGTTTTTTCTAGTTGTGATCAAGCTGACATTTGCTAGACGTACTCCCATCTGGTCATATACATGTTTTTCTGGTTACGGTGTGAAGTTCCTAGATTTCATTCCAATTTGTATGAAGAACAAAATATTGACAATAGAATTTCAGTGTATAAAAAATAGATTTATTTTCTGTGTTAACTATGAATTTGAAATTATGAAACTAACTCATTATCAGGAGCTAAATAACCCTGAGATAGAATCATTATACTTTGCTTGTCTTGAGTTTTTGCACTTTTATTGCTTTTTCATAGTCTTCAGATTAATCTAATTTTTGATGAGTAAAGATTCATTTAGGGCTGGAGCAATAGCACAGTGTACGGTAGGGCGTTTGCTTTGCACGTGGCCAACCCGGGTTCAATTCTCAGCATCCCAGGTAGTACCCTGAGCACCGCCAGGGGTGATTCCTGAGTGCAGAGCCAGGAGTAACCCCTGTGCAATGCTGGGTCTGACTTCCCCCCAAAAATAAGAAAAGAAAAAGAAAAAAAAGACTCATTTATTACAGAAATTACAATGGACCGGAATTTTCAGATTCCCCCCCCCCATACTCTCTCTTATGACATATATACTTGTGCTCATTTCAAGACAAAAATGGAAAATATTAATTTCAGAAAACCTAGTGCTTTGGAAGTAGTAAGAAAGCTAAAGTCAGAAAATAGTTTTCTTTTTGTTGTTGTTGTTGTTTTTGTTTGTTTTTTGGGTCACACCCGACGTTGTACAGGGGTTACTCCTGGCTCATGCACTCAGGAATTACCCCTGGAGGTGCTCAGGGGACCATATGGGATGCTGGGACTCGAACCCGGGTCAGCTGCATGCAAGGCAAAAGCTGTGCCCCAAGTCAGAAAAGAGTTTGATGAAAAGTCTATATGTCTCTATGAAGGGAAACAAGTACAGACTAAGAGTCAGGCCAGCCTGGACAGTAGCCTGTGCAAGGCAGGAACATAAGTGCTCTTCCTCCAGCAGATGCAGTCCTCTGTCAGAGTGACGGCACAGCTCACCTAGCAAGAATGGGCTGTATTTCAGCCTTCACTTATCCCTCTGTGCAAGCACTCTTTTACAAGGCACATCTGTATACAGTGACTGAGGGAGCTTAAGGGATATAGATTGATATTGGTTTTCAGGCAGGGAATTCTTCCTATGTTCATTCCTCATGAGTGACTATCACGAATCACGACCACCCTCGTCGATTGCCTCGAGCAGGCCCCAGTAACGTCTCCTTCATCCTAGCCCTGAGATTTTTAAGAAAGTGCTATATTCAAGGTTCTTTAGGAGAATGTGACCCATCATTGTTACTGGTATTTGGCATATTGGGTACGCCACGGGGAGTTTGCCAGACTCTGCCGTGTGGGCGGGTTACATTCGGTAGCCTGCCAGTTTATCCAAAGTAGGAATGAGATAATAAGATGTCATAATAAGATGTCACGCAGCCGCAAATGTGGCTGCGAGGTTCCGGGACCTGGTTTTTATAGTGACTATAAATAAATATAAAGCCCTTCTAAAACATTTAGGTTCTCCAGCCTGAGTGCTTTGGAATCACCAAGCAGGCAGGCTGAGGGTGGGAGAAACCTGGAGACACTGGTGGAGAGAAGTTGATACTGGCAATGGGATTGAGGCTGGAACATCATATGCCTAAACTCAACTATAAATAACGGTGTACATCATGGTGTCTTAAAATATATTTTGTTTACTTGAAAAAAAAGGAAAAGATTCAAGGCAGGTTGGGGATGAAATGATACACAGAATGATCTGAGTTCAATTCTTTTCACCCCTTATCACATCAGAAATGATCCCTGAGCACAGAGCCAGAAGTAATCCCTGAGTACAGCCAAGTTTGGCTGCTGAAAAAAACAAACAAACAAACAAACAGTCACAAAACAAACAAACAAACAAGATTTACAGCAGACTTATTAAATGAGGCTTTTGGGTCAACAGAGAAAGGTAGAAGATAGTTTGTTTTTTAATTATTGAAATGAACAACTCAGTAAGAATATTCTCTCCAACTAGATTATTATTTAAATTTGAAGTAATGATATAAAACTTCACAGACAAGCAATAGCTTAGGTAATTCTTTTCTTTCACTCTTACTAATTGTATATTTGTATGATCTTTCTGTTTTATGCTGGAGGGCTAGAGCGATAGCACAGCAGTAGGGCGTTTGCCTTGCACGCAGCCAACATGGCCGACCCGAGTTCGATTCCTCCGCCCCTCTCGGAGAGCCCGGCAAGCTACCGAGAGTATCTCGCCCGCACGGCAGAGCCTGGCAAGCTCCCCGTGACGTATTCGATATGCCAAACACAGTAACAACAAAGTCTCCAATGGAGACGTTACTGGACCCGCTTGAGCAAATCGATGATCAACGGGAGGGCCTTTACTTTACTTACTTTACTCTGTTTTATGCAAATTTTAAATGTACTAGCATAGAATTAGTCATACTATTGGTTTTTTTATTTTAGATATTTAGAGTATCCCGCCTGCACGGCAGAGCCTGGCAAGCTCACCGTAGCGTATTCGATATGCCAAAAACAGTTAACAACAAGTCTCACAATGGAGATGTTACTGGTGCCCACTTGAGCAAATAGATGAACAACGGGAGGACAGTGCTACAGTGCTACAGTAAAAACAGATACATCGCTTCTGAAAATTATCAACTTATCCCTTATTTGCAGTTTTGTTCAATTTGAAGAGTTTAGCTTTACTGATCTATATGTATGTAGGCATCACCAACTCCACAATCAAAAGAGATCTCTCACATGTGGGATATAAGGAAATATAAGGAAAGGAACAACAAATGGCCAAAGGCAACAGAATGGAGGTTTTGCAAGCCATACAAATTAAAGTCTTTAGGGCATGCTGTTGGGACAGACTTGGGTGGTGGTTGGGAAAATTTGGAATAATGGTGGTAGGAAGGTGTAAGGGTGATGGGATTAGTGTTGGAATACGAAATGTAATAAATTATTGTGAACAACTTTATAAAAATAAAATTAAATAAAAAAAAAGAACTGGAGGTTTTGTTACAGAACTGAGCTTACCTGATATGGCAGGGATGTGTGGAGAGGAGGGATCCCTGGGATATTGGTGGAGGGGAGCAGGAACTCTGGTCATAAGTTTGTGTTATCATGGTGCATTCATGAAATGTATAATGTGTAATTCATGAAATTATATATTCATAAATCATGTTACCTCAATAAAAATGGTAAAGAAAAAAGTGTACTGACAGGAATTAGTCCAAAGATGATAGCTTTACCCTCTTAACGTTGATTTTAATTAGTACACTGCAGTACAGATGAAGGAACCAGAGCAAAATTATTTTTATGGACCATGTTCACACACAACATATTGCACTTA